TTAAATGAAAGATACTACTTATAACAACACTTGTAATAATATATTTACGATTATTCTGTTAACTCACAAGACGGTAAATATACATAAAAGATGGTAAGTGGTGATCAATTTCGATTGGACACTCTAATCATCATCAGACCCAATAGTTGAATGACAAGAATCTTCAATGGCATCCCTACTTATATCATATAAGTACAACTGGATTCGATTTTTTTTGCTCATTAATCAGATTATTTTTATTTTTAAATTTGTTCTTATTAATATAAAAATAAACTGATTAATGAGCCAGTAAATTTCGACTAAGTCGTACTTATAGAAATGTATTGACCGGTACTTCCAAGCCAATCAGATGTAGGGACGCCATTCGTGATTCTTGTATGGCAAGATTCTGTATATAGGTAATATAATATAATACCAGAAGCACCGAGTTGACCCAGAAAAAAATCATAAATGGCTTAAACCATCTACCAATATCTATATAATTAATACGCGACACGAAACTTTGTGAACAATAAGGCTTTTTTTGTTTTAAGATTTAACCCCACATATTGTATACCAAAATATTCGTCTAGGTGGGTAGATGTGCAAACTGGCTTTAGATTTTCGAAATATATCATTTTAAGGGCGTGGGGTACCCTCAAAGTTCCTTCCATAAGGATAACATTGTGATTGATTTGAATGTTATTATATTCTGAAACAGATGTCAATACATTAGTTTAAACAAAATTAATCTACCAATATAATGTTTAATGTAAAATAAACTTATGGAATCTTAAGATATTAAATCCACATCAAACAAATTTGTTTAAATAAGTTTAATTTAAATTATGTATATAAATCATTATTTCGATGAAAAATCTTGTTTTTTGAATTTGAATTTACTGTTTGAAATATTTTAATTGAAAAAAATGACAAATGTACATTTTAGTTAGTAACCAAGACTAATCAAAACTTGGGAACAATATCATAGCAGACAACTGTTCAACACCACTACATAGCCTTACCAAGTTTATGGTAATACCTTAGAATTGTTCATTAACACAACAACTGGCCTGACACGCCACTATTGGCAGAACCCAACTTTGATTGCCTACATTTGAATATCGTTCCTAGTTCGAGAATAATATCTGAAAAATATTATTCTATTGTGTTGAAGTAAAAGTAACGAAACAGTTTTGTTCTGGTTTTTCAACCGGAATTCTTCTTTTAAATACCAAAAATATCCCATCTTTAAATTTTTGAGGACATCATTAATTCACAAGTTTGTATGTAAAGTGCAATTTAATTATTATAATACAGTAATAATAATATGTTAAATAAGTTATTAAATTAAGCATAAGTTACTTTTATTTACTTATTTGATTTTTTTACAACAACAGTAATTATTGGTGTTGTATATATTACGTTAAGTTAAGGAACCAAAATATTTTTTTTTCAATCGAAAAACAAAATTATTTCTTATAAGACATTTTTAAGAGTGTAATAATATGTAAATGTACACGTCATTTTCTCATTAAAAACATTGTTGGCTAAATATACCGGATATTCAACTTAGTATTTTTGGATCTTGTCATAAATGTTTTTGTCGTCATACTGCAGCAAAAACAGCAGTTTTAAATACATGCGTTGCGGGTCTAAAGCAGCTATTTTTCTCTCTAGGGAGTAAAAGTCAGTTGTTAATTTCGATTGCAAACAATCTCATGTATCAAAATTAATCGGTTGTTGCTTATTTTTGCCTTCTTGTTAATAGTTTGACATACCGATGGTACAATGTACACTACTACGACCATAATAGACAAAATAATTGAGTCACTCACTAAACAACCACTTGTTGGTATTAGGAAAATTGAAAAACAGTTGTAAGTCATTTTGAGATGTTATCTTTACTTGAAAAGCATTTCAGTGTTGATACTTAATGTAATTATATATTCTTGCAGTATGTAGTTATTGCTGACTTAAAATATATTTAATCACATGGGCAAAAAGAGTCTTTTCAATCCTCCCTCATTTTCCAACCTCGGCTTCGCCTGTACCCTAAAGCTTGACCTCAGGTCGAAAGGATTCACAACACTCCAGTATGATGATATGTACTATTTCATCACTCCGTCCAGATATTCGGTATTTTCAGTGCCAGTATCACAGTTCGATGAATTAAGAGCAAAGAAAACAATCAGCTGATAAGCTTGGTCTTAGTTTATTTTCCCTTGCTCTCAATCAGTTGTTGTCCATTTACCCATGGGCTAAATTTTGTTTATAATTTACTTTCATGATTTTAGATGTGGTTTTATTGTTTAGTAATATAAGTGTTAGCATAAATAGTATTAGGATATTTTGGCTGCATTTTCTTTTTCATTATGCAGGCTTAAAGCATGAATAGCCCTAAGTTTAAATTTTACGATGTAATGTAGGTTTTTTATAGCTCATTTGCTTTTAAATGAATGCCATTTTGAAACCAGGAATTATAACAAAATTGTTTTCTTAAAATAGCTTTTTGTATTAGCTATGTATTCAACAAATTTGAACTCACTATACAACGCCGTTATCAAATAAAAAATCTAAATAGAGTTTGGGGACATTCTGTATACTAATTCAAATACTATTAATTATATTAAGTATGCGTAAAATAAATACGTTCTGCCATTTTATGGCCCTAATTAATTTTAAAACTTTTATAGCAAAAAACCAGTAAATAGACTCCAAGCTATAAAAGGTTTACGGTAATTTATCGAATTAATTTATGCCTCATAAACCTTGATTGGAATTCAATTCGTTTATAAGTGAGAGAGGGTAATATTCTTAGTCTCTTTCACGATACAAAACAATCTTGATGACTTCTGAATAAATAACAAACTTAGAACTGACACAAAGAGCCTAATTGCATTTCAAATTAGTCTCCAGAGACAAATCTTCATAAACAAATCTGAATTATAGGAAAGTTTAATGCTCTTCTATTTCTTTTGTTGAAGAAACGGAAAACGTTTCTTAATCTGTAGCGTAATTTATCCAGGTCGAAATACTCGGAATATATGTTTAACATTACATATTTCCAATCAATTCATAGAGTTTTGTTAGCCATGCAGTCCTATTATTGTTGGAGCTTATAAAATTAATAATTAAAAAATAATTTAAACTCAAGGATTAAGTGTGTTCCTAAAAAATTATACTATAAGAAAAAACACTATCAGTAATGTTTTTTCAAACTGTTTGTCAATATAAATTAATGCAGTATTAAATAGTTACTCGTTTTGTTGCTGTCAAACTTGACTGAGTTCATTGTGAGCTGTTTACGCACCACGTTCATCTAGGCTTTTGGTTACAGTGAAAAACTACAACGATATTAATATAAGAAACAAAATGCAATACACCTAAAATATAAGTAAAACAACGAAGAAAGTTTTAATTGTATTGATATTCTTTTACTATAATGTTTAGAAAAATAATACCTTTCCCAAGTTGTGGTCTGTAAAGTTTGTATTAGGTAATAAATCCGTTTTGTAATTGTTGGAAAATTGGTGGCTTCACTCAAATTAATAATCAGATGATACTAGCACAGGACGTTGAAACGTAAGTCTCAAGGAAGGATACACAAATCTTCATTGAAGTGAATAATGTATCGATGAGAAAGGTGGCTCATAAATAACCTACCTTCCATTCTTACTGTGGGGAATCGTAAAATATCTTAACTTACCTTGTACATGCGATGTATTGACAAAAATACCCCCCCCCCCCAGCCGCAAACCTGCAGAATAAGCGAATTTTCACTCGTGCATTAGGCCTAATAAGCACCTAGGTTTGCTGATACAGGGAGGATAGTACAGTTTTTTTAATATTAATAACTTAGTATAAAATTAATAAATTTGCCAAGTTTCATAAAAAATATATCTGTAAGTGACCAAACTACAACAGTCAGTTTACTAATTATCCTAATAAAATGACGTGGGACTTTAAATTTTATGATTTGTAAATTTTCTACATAATCATTAAGTGCGTAATTGGCAAACCCTAAATATAGTCTACTAAGTTATTTGTTTTTAAGCTCTACAAAACTATTTGGATAGAAATTTCTAAATTCTATGTTTTAAGGGAATTATAGGGAAACCCCAATTTTCACCCCATAATACCCCGTTGCCATAGTCCGATCATGCGTAAACGCCTTCAAGTTTATCCTGCTTTACACCCCCAAACCAAATTACATCAGAGTTGGAAAAGAAGCTCAAGCGTCCAGTCTTACGAATGAAGCAAGAGGGCTTTAGTATTTTGAAGACTACTGGTGACTTTAGTAGTTGGTAGGGTGATGATGGCAAAGTTTACATGTTCTGGGTGGTATTTTATGGTATAGTATCTTAAAGTGAGTATTTGGTATGGTAAAAAAATATCACCATTTGAAAAATATTTTTAATCGGAGACAATTTATTTGGTTTAAATTGAATACAATGTATTTAATTAATAACGAAAATTTTACTTTTCAGATAAAAAAGGAGCTGTCAAAATAATTAGCCTTTTTTCAATGAAAAATTTAAGGTTATCATCAGTTTTATAGAAACTAAAATGAATAGCAAACATTTCCGTTCTGGCTCAAATTGAATGCAAAGGTTGCCGTCCATAAAAGGTGGATTGGCTCAGATTTCAACATCGTAAAAACTTTACTGAAACTTCTCTGCGGATAAGATAATGCATATCGTAGTTAATAAAATTAAATTAATTTTATTCGAAAAACCTTATCATTTTTCCACACGTTCAGGAACTACGTCTTGATAAACAAATAAACCTTTACGTTGTTGGTGTACAAGGACGGTTGTTATATAATTACGTGATACTAATAGTCAATTATGAATGAAGGTAAGAAGAGATCTACTCGATGTGACATAAGTTATTGTTGTACGGTTTACACTTGTCAACTTCAGATTACGTTTGTTTATCTGTGTTATTTTACGTTACAACAAAGCCTATCTAGAGAAGATCCTATCTTGTCAGTTCACAGCCACTCGCCATCTCTCACGATGGATTTAGAAAACACATTCTACTTTCATCTGATATTCCTGGTGGTCATGGTAAGTACAATCAGATTTAATTGACTATGTTCCCTTAAGATATCGATAAACCTACGCTATTATTTTATAAATAGCAATCAATTCTTGCAATACAAAAAGTAAGAATGTTATAAATTTACAAAAATAGTTCATATTTTACTGAAAACCTCATGCTTGTTTATTGGTCACATAAGACAAAAGTCAATACCGTGTATTAATTACAACTATTATAATGTTACGAAGATTGAAATGTACTTTAACAGTGGATTGGCTTAAATTAATGGTAATTTAATCCTAATGGAAAATGGTAAACAGGGCCAAAGTACAACATATAGTAGTAAACCTCCACATTTAAAATCAAAACTAATAAAACATCCATCAAGACTGTGCTAAACTCGCTGTGATATAGTTTAGATTTAACATGACTTTGAATTTATTATACTCGTTTATTATCAGCTGCCTTTATTGATGCCATTCTATTAATACTTAGCTAAGCTATTTGTTTATATTATATGTTGTTCTATGGAATAATTGTGTAATTAAGACTGGCTTAAATTGACGAGAACGTAAGACTACTACTATATTCCATGAGTAAAATTTTTTTTATAAAAAAAGTTAATAAAAAAAGGCTACTACTTAAATATATATACTATTTATTCTGATGGGAATAGATAAGGTGGCCAAGGACATTGAAATACACTTCATCGAGCAATTGGGGTTTTCACTAATCAATCCAAACGAGCATTTTCGGTAAAACAATTTTCCATACATTAGACGTTTCATTGATCGGTTGAACTAGCTTAATAGGTTAATAAACCGAATACGTGTTTTTCAGGTGGGGATGAGCCAAGAGAGAAGTCTACCACTAGATCACCGTAAACAGTTTTACCCTGTTCATCTTTCTTGGGAAACGCAAGGATGGTATTCTACGGAGGATTACCCATACTCGATACAGTCAGAAGAACCAGCGTGGCCTTCAGAGACACCTTACACAGATTATCCAGAGTACTCAACATATCCTACAGAGACTACAACAATGAATCCACCTGAGACGACAACAATAAAACCAACCACTTCAGAGGCGCCAACTACAACAGCAATCCCTTCATCAACTGAGCCACCAAAATCAACATCGATAACCCATTCGTCAACTATGCCACCTACATCAACTACAAAACCTATTCCTTCATCAACTGAACTACCTACTACAACTACAACACCTAGTCCTTCATCAACTGAGCCACCTACAACACCTAGTCACTCTTCAACTGAGCCACATACTACATCTACAACACCTAGTTCCTTATCAACTGAGCCACATACAACAACTACAACACCTAGTCCTTCATCAACTGAGCTACCTACTACAACTACAACACCTAGTCCTTCATCAACTGAGCCACCTACATCACCTATTCCTTCATCAACTGAGCCACCTAGAACTACAACACTTAGACCCTTGACTATCACCACAGCCCCTAGAACAACACCAACAACCACCATAACACCACCGCTTTCTAGTACCACAGATATTTCAACAGATGTGTTTACCACAGAAGGATCTACCACACTAGTTTCGACGACGGAAGGTGATTCAACACCAGCTTTTACAACAGAACAAAGTTTTATCTAGACAAAAAAAAACATTCCACTCAATCGTTCACGTAATAGTTCTATGTAGTAATAAAAGTAAATCTACGATGTGTCAATACCAGTGTATGCAAAGTTGACGGGCTCAAGTCATTCATCCCAGGTAAGTTTTATTGTTTACAACTGCTTGGTTATATTATTGAAAAATAATCTAAATTAAGCATAAGTAAACAGGAATTTTTAAATTGTTAATGCAACAATCTACTTACTCATGTAAGTATATATTGTTACAACAATAGAATATTAAAAGGATGAAATATTTAAATTACCAAAAAAACCTAGGTTTGTGCTATGAATGTTTCTGACTGGTTCTAAGAAAAAAATGGATTTGTTTTATTTACACTTAGTTTAATTGAGGAACTTTTATATGACATTTCCAACTAAGCAATAAACCGACAAAAATAATGAAAATGCAATGGGATTTACTTTGTAGTAGGTTGTCTTAAGATTGACGTAAGATACAGTATAATAAAGTTAAAAGGGATTCTCTTGTATTATGAAAAGGTTAAATGGTAATTTTAAGTTAGGCATAAATATTCTAGTGGTTTTTTTTTATATTTTTCAACCAAAAGTATTTTATAGTAGGCCTAGTGCTTTTTTTAATATTACTGAATGAAAATACTTTTCCAGACCTAATATTAAATATTTTATACATTTTGTTTATGCTAGTATCTTTATCACAAATATTTCCGATCTCTCAAATAAACTCAGTTACTAGCTTACCGACAGGGAACTTCAACTCAATTGGTTGTGGTTGTAAGCTGTGTATTTAAATCAAAATAAGATAAGCAACCATTATTTCCTAGCTTTCTCTTGGTTGTAGCCTATATCAATTATAAAATCTACGTTAAAAAGAAGAGCTTTTTAAACATAATAAATAAAGAACATTATGTTGTGGTTATAATGTAGGTAGAGTTTTCTTTCTTTGGATTTGCTACCTCTGTAATGTAAATGAAATTCCGTTCCTTGTGTCGTATTTTGTTAGCAGATTGTAAAAATAAAATCATTAATATACTATGTTTCGTTTATGTTTATTAATTAGCATTTTTAAAAACATTGGTACTAAAAAATATCTTTCTAGTTACACTACAAGAAAATGTTAAATTTAACATTTATATAGTTATGATGATAGAGTATTCAACTGTTCTCAGATAAAAAAAAGTCATCACAAAACAACTCTTAAGTTGCAAAAGAACAAACATCTTCCGTTGTAACATGGCAGTTTATTGACATTGCCAGATATTACATGAAACGAAATTCCTATTTCCCAGAAAGCTGATTAAAAAGGGAGTGCAATTTTATGGTCCAAACACAAAAATTACTCTTGCCACTGTTGATTGTAGTACAAAGATTGATGAAAACATGCGTATCATTATTTGCATATCACTTTAGACTAAAATAGCCTTATTTGAATTATCTGACATTATATTTGATATCAATTTATCATGACAAGTGTTCTCTCTAGATAACAATGTTATAGAGAAGAAAGCGTTATTTTTCATGATGTCAAATTATTTAACTTTTAAAACATAAGCTCCTGTCTTATTTTTATGCTTACCATATCGTAAAAACTTAATATGACTAATTGTGCAATGAATTTTCATTTATTATTACAAGTAGCTAAGGATGCCCTTTAGTACTGTTGATAATAGTTAAGGTCTTGTTTGTATGTGAAAAGAGCAAATCGAGTTTACACATTATTAACACCCCACACTTTACAAATGTTGAGAGGGTAAAACATAGTTGATGCTTAGTTTAAAAAGTTAGTATTACTAACAGTTTTAAAAGTCAAAGTTTAATCAGACTAACCTACTTAAAGTTTGACTATGATTTATATAGAAGTTCAATTCATCAATTGAATGTGAATTAGAGGATACACAACAACTCAAAAAATAATATTGCATTTTATAATTTCCAACAACAAATTACAAGTGCCATTACTATCCATATGCCATATAATTTAAATGGGAGTGTGCCTCAAGAACATGCAGTGCCATTTAAATACAAGTGCTAAATGTTTAATGAAACTATAACAAATGTGTGTCTTTGTTATAAATGTTCCAAAACAAGTGTAATATTATAAAATAATAATAATGGCAATGATAACAGATTGTTATTTATTATTTGACATGTACAAATACTAATGAGCATGTTAAAATTATAATGTATCATTTTTATATTATACATAGCAGTACATATGTAAAATATTGGTAAACTCTAAGCAAAAGTTCTTTGGTCCATTTATGTATTCTAGATTTACAGCTAGGAAACAAATAGAACAAACCCGGGGATTGATTTTAAACTGTGTCAAAAACTGTCCTTATCAATATTTGATTTACTTTTTGACGCTAAAGCTGCTAGCATTTTAAAGTGTTATTGTAGTGCAATTTCACATTAGAAGAAACCACATAAAATTCTATGATACAAAATATACCAACTGTTTGTATAACTCTTATTTAAGTCTATTACACATTTTGATAACGCGTTAACTCTCTGCGGAGTCTTTCTAGTTGTATTGTTTTATAACATAAAATTTCTTAGTAAAAACTATGTATTGACGAAGTATATTGCCTTACACTTATAAACCTTGAAGTAAATTCAATTTAATTTTAATTGAGAATCCTAAGAATGCCTCATAGCTAACCATAAAACATGAATCCGTTGTTTTTAGTCATAAGTACAATATAAGCGCAATGCTGCTTAAAAGTGACTATGATGTTGCGAAATAAAAAGCATTGACGCCTTGCTAAGTCTGAATATGAGTAGTAAGATTAATGCTGGCATGACATACCACAGACCAGAAAACCACAAACCACAAACCTAAAACCACATCTCGAGACCAAAGTAAGACCCTTTACTACCACCACAAGGGTATCTTTCCATCGACAAACCACTTATCTAATGTATATACATATATAGAATCCCCCCTCAGCAAACCTGCAGATTATACGAATTTCCATTTGCCGGTTTTGCTTTCAATTAAAATTTCGATGGCATTAAGTTTAACAAGTGTGAATGAAAAAGTAAATCGGATCCGGGTCCAGGTGTTACCCACGGTAATAGCTTATACCGTTTTGGTGTTACTCACTAAAACTGAACAATTTAGTGGTGTAGTGAACGAATAGTATGAGATTATAAAACCTATAAAACATATTCCTTACTTTTATGTCTCAAAAGGTGTTTTTGACCTATAACGAGAAGATTTTTGTTTTAGATTAAGGAAACCAACATCCTCAGATGAATTGGTGAAAGAAACTTCAATAATTGAGGTAAAGGGTACATTTGCTGTATCCCGGATATCGATCAGCTGATTTCCCGTAGGAGATGTTCCACACTCACAGCTGTCCAATCAGCTGACAGACGTTCCTTTGTAGTTGGGAGGTTTAAAGTTAAACCCGTCGAACATATAAGGAAGATTTGATTTCTCTTTGAGCAATTACGTATTTTAAATAACAATAACAGATTGCACTAATCAGCATTAGACTTAGTTGCTAACATTATTGTACTTAGGAATCATCTACTTTACTAAAGAAAATTACCTTTAAAAGATGTTAATTCAATTGCAATTTATAATCATTACAAATTTTTAGGTTCCATCCTTCTTTACTCTAACCCGCCGATATTTTTGCAGATCCTCTTTTGTCCAAAGCTATTACTTCCACACAACTGCTTTAACATAGTGAATAATAAGTACCGTTAAACGTACTAACTTCTGTATTAGTATTAAAAAATTCTAGTGGATATTTTCAGTAAAAATATCAATTTACAATTAAGTTTCCTGTTTAATTACATACGTCAAACGTGCAGATAGAGCAATTAAAGACACCGGAAATTAGATAATAAGCTGGATATAAGAGATAAATGTCATGGACCATCATGTTGACATGACATCATGAACATGACACGATGTATCTCATATATCATCATATCCACTCTACAGTAGATGATTGTGACATACGTTGCACAGTATGACGTGTCATGTGTCTAATACATGTTCTTAAAACATTGCTGAATATAACTGTATCGTTATAGTGTACTAATGACGTAAGCCTAAAATAAATACCATTCAATCTTGAAAAGTAATTTTTTATGGCTATAATTAATTAATTACTGTTATTTTATCAAAACTCACGAAGATAGTATTTCAAGTCTAAGAATTCTTTTTTGTCAAGAATTATAAATTTATAAAAAATATAGGTTTTTAGATATAACTATAAACTTATAAATAACTACGGTTATGAAATCGTATAATGAATAAGCTGTAAAATCTACGACGGTTAATTAGATTATAGTTTTATACTGTTGTAAGTTTCATAGTAAAATATGTAATTTCATTTTATTTGCTTTACAACTATATAAAAGATGAGTAGGTTATGGGTATGTGTAACATGTCTAATTTAGATTTGATACTGTCGTTGAATTGCTGTTATTCTAGCTAATACAATTTACGGAAAGTAAATAAAAGAAACATCTTATAACACTTAAAACATATATTTACGCTTATAGGCCTACTGTTACTCACAAGACGGTAAGTAAAAAAAAAAAAAAAATTGTAAGTGGTGATTGATTTCGATTGGACACTCCAATCATCATCAGACCCAATAGGCGAATGAAAAATGATGTAAATTATAATTATGTAAATCTGCGTACCGTTTTGTAACGTTTGTAAGCAAGAAGTGCATACGATGTTGATATTCTGTATCAAACTTTCTCGGCAAATAATTATTTCATGTAAATTTTGCAATTGCAAACGTAATACTAAACAGTACCGGTCATTATGCCATGAGTTACCAAGAATTTGTAATGGTATACTAACTCTTTGTCAAACGTTTGATCTAGACCACATTGTAGGTAAATTTCAAAATTATTTTACCATCAGCGTTAAAAATAAAGATGTAAATACGAAAAAGTCCATATTATACATTTATTGAAATGTGTATGAACAATTATTATTAATTTTAAAATATTTAAACGATTACAGTC